TGTGTGTGTGTGTGTGTGTGTGTGTGTGTGTGTGTGTGTGTGTGTGTTGGCTCATTCTCTCCTCAGGGGTGTTCATAACCAAAGGTGACGTGGGTGTTGGGACCATCGTGGGTTCAGCTGTCTTCAACATCCTCTGCATCATCGGTGTGTGTGGCTTCTTTGCCGGCCAGGTATGATGTCACAGCAGCGGCACACTGCAGCAGCTGATCCTCACACTGACCTGGTGGCATTTCACACAGAGCAACCAACAGTCTAATGTCACCTTTAAATATTCAGACACATACACACAAAGTGGGAGAAAGTACTCGTGTATATGTTTCTGCAGAAGGAAGCAGGAAGCAGCCACGTGAACAATATCCCATCCGTCCGTCGTTTGTATCTTTTTTTTCTGCTTTGCATCCTCAACGCTGTGTGTTGCGCGAGATACAGAGATAACGTAACGCAGTGCAGCCTCTCTCTGATGCTATCGGACGTGCCGGGGACATGGAAATGAGTGGAGTGCAAGGATAAGCTCTCTGCTCCGAAGAGTGTACGCACTGGACCTCAAACAGTGTTGCACAGTTGCATTACGTAATCACAGGGAGATAATGTGAGGTGGAACGGGCCTCACCTATGTTTACCATTAGCTGGCTGATCGTAGCAGGTTCCCTCTACAAAGCAGGATGGTTCAGGGAAACAGAGTACAAGCAAACATTTTCAAATCTCTGTTATGTTCTAAACGTTGCTCCGCCTTGCAGCGGCAAACCATTCCACAGCTGGGAGTGGCTCATTGAAGATGTGACCTCTGACCCTCCACTTACGTGTGAGCGCTGTGTGGGAGAGTATTACAGCGTGATTCATTGCACCGTGGGCTCCTGCATTGTGTCTTTGTAGGATGGTAACTTGTGATTCCTGTGTTTACATCGGCATGGTAATGATATCAGAGGCGTTTCTGTGTCACAGAGCTGCATGAACTCCAGCGAGGATAAGTGTTGCTATTAAAGTGTTTGAATTAAAGCTGAAT